CTAATTGCTAAAAACCAAGTGAAACCGAGTGTGACTTCCCAGTAATACCCCCAAGGAGTGAAGTTTCCCTTAATTTCTACCAAAATTAATTTCTTAAAGAAAGTACCAAAGTACATTGATTATTTGCAGTCTGAAAATAAAAATAAAATCAGTTTGTATCACTTATCAAAGAAGCTTTTTCCAGGTGTGGCATAGGAACTGCACAATCAGAACTTGTATCACTGATACTCTGGTGGTTGTGTTCTCTCCACTGCAAATGGAGAAACTCCAAAAAATCTTTAGTTCAGGTAGAAGCTATGTAAGCTGAAGAAAATGCTCACAGGAATAGTGATAAGGGGACTGTCAAAACCTAAAGGACACACAGGTGTATTACTCTTTCTAGCAAGGGACTGTAAAAAGTGTCTCTGCAACACAGTGGTATTAACATGAACACAGTCAACTGAAAGGCCAGCCTGTGGCAGGCAGACCATCTTCACTGTAACAATATAAGTGTTCATGTAAATCACTACAAAAGAATCAATATATTATTAAACTTATAGCTCCTCTTAATAGTAGTAAATTTCTAGTTTCTTCCTGGCAAAGGACATTTGTTTCTCCCTGTTGAATATAACTTCTTTGGTTGCTCTGCTCTTACAAGTTTGGGACATAATTTGCAAAGACCTCCAGGAAAAAAATCATGACCTCACCACTGATGATCTGAGCTCCTCTCAGCCGTCCTGTCTTACCCCAGCCAGTGCAAACTGACTGAACAGTAAAGGCAGAGCCCCATTCTCCAGGGGACTGTTTAGCAGACATAGAAGCTCGATTTCATCTTCTCCTTGAGTCTCGTACGTTGTGCGAGAGCCCTCACAGACACTCCAACCCTCGGGCAGTCACTGCCTGGGCAGGTTTAACACTGACACGCTCAGAGCACCCAGGGCTGAGGCTCAGAACCTCCTGAAGCCACAGTGGGAAACTCCCAGTGGGCCAAGACAAACCAAGAGTAGCAAAACACGGTGTGATGGGACAACCATCCAATTCAAACAGGTAATGAAAGCAAGTGCTCAGCAATATGGATTCAATGATAACAAGAAAAAGCACAGCACATGCCAGTAAAACAGCACCAAATATTTGCTTCAGGTTTTCAAAGCTAGTTCCCCTCATCCGTAGCAGAGAAAAAAACCCCAAACTATTATAAAAACCTATACACAGAAGACCTAAAAGTTAATTACCCTTAATCATTAATATATTGAAATATCATTCAGGATATGATGTCTTCCTGTTTAACAAGCTCTTCCAGAAAAGACTGGCAAATGTCTGTTCTTTCTTCAACTATCCATGCAGAGAAAGTAAAAGATAACTGTACTAGGAAACTTAGCTCAAAACCACAAAAAGTATTATGACCTAGTAGCTGATTAAATCAATTTCCACCCCTGAGTTCATAGCCATAAGTACTGGAATACTATCTCTTTGTAGCTGTAAAAGAAAAAAGTTTAATTAATCCTTTGAGCTATGAAAATTTAAGGAAGGCTGACCTCAAATTTAGCTGCAAGCTAATAACTTCCTTCACTGCTATATTACATAAAGTTTTTCCCTTTATGTTAAGGCCTACAATGAAAAAATAAATCCTAACAGGTGGATACACTTCCAGCTCGTTTGTGGAAGGCAGGTTTCATTCAGGTAATCCCTCTACATCATTTGAAACTTCAGTCCATCAAGAATGATCAAGAACTACAGTTCTTAATAGGGACATTAAAAAAAGCAAAAAGTGGGATTTTTTTCCTGCTGAAAGTAAACCTTCCTTACATATATTCTGCCTAAAACGACTTTACTACACTCTTATTTAAAAAAAAAATACACAAAAAAAGTAAAAAAAAAAAATTAACCTTCGTTCCTAACACATGATTTTGTACCTTCAATGTATCTTTTGAAGGTTAGAGGTATTTATGACTGCTAACAATGGGAGTAATAAGAAGATACAGTTAACTCATCTTCTCTTTCAATAGCAGAAGCAGCTCCTCCTCTATTTACATACAGTACAGCAAGAACATAAAAAATAACTTTAATGACATTAAGACAATGGAGAAAAGTTAGCCAAGATATTTTGTAAAATTACATAGGAGAGAGCTCACACACATTACAAGCACACATCTGCACCACCCCATGTGACACCAGAGCTGTTCTGCTGCAGAGCATCCACAGGCACAGAGTAAGAGCAGTTACAGGCTCAAGGCTGTTACTGCAGGTTTTAACTTTGTCCCCAAATAAACAGGAAAGGAAGTGTCTGTCTTTCTGCAGTATCTTTTTGCAGGTGGTCCAACCCATCAGCCACATGCCCCCAGTTTCTCTTTGGCAGCAGATGCAGAAGATTAAATAATAATGTAGCAAGCAGGACCACACACAGCAGCAGAAGCAGCGAGAATGGAGAAGATACAAGATAGCCCAGGTTTTCCCTTCACCACTGTTCTTTCTACCTGCTTTTGAATTTAAAAGTCAGTTTCTCTGTTATAAACTTAGAAAATATACACTTAGTCCTTTATGAGACGAGGGTTCCGTATCCTTCCAATTGCTTTATTAAATCCTTCAAATTCCATGCCTACTCTCCTCCCTACAGTGACAACACTGTTATTTTGTTTAAAAAGTGATATTAAGGTGTTCATTCTTTACTTGTCAGGTATTCTGAACCGTCTGCGTCATCCAGAAGGTCTTACACATTGACATTCTCGATATTTCACTTACATAAAATGCAGAAGAACCCTCAGACCTTACTGCAATGCAGTCACAGCTTTATATTTAACCTTAGCTGCAACATTTCTGTATTGTAATATTAAGATATATAAATCAGGATTTGATCTAAAGCCCAGAATACATACTGTCAAATTTTATCTTTTTTAACACAGCTTAGTCCAACAAGAGATGACTACAGTGTGAAGGAAGCACTTACCCGAATTAGAATCTGGAAAAGACAAATAGCAAATATTGGTTTTCTAAAGGGTGGGGAAAAGAAAAGAGAGCTGTTATATTTCCTGAAATTGCTAAACTCACACCAAATCATATACTTATACAGCAACCATGACTTACCTCTTTATCTGTGAGTTTGGAATGTGGAGGATATATTACCTACAGGAAGAAAGATTTATTTTATTTGAAAATCAAGTGGGTATAAGCAGTAAGCTTCTACTAAATATTTTTACAATTCAACACTCAAATACCTGCCTTAGAATACTTTCAATTGTAAGCTATTAATATTATGCCTCTATTCTTAATTTTATATGCTTTTAAGTTAATTGATCACCCATCTTTACAAAGTATTTTGAATGCCAGTTAGAGACCACACACATACATTTAAAAATTCAGAGTACTTGAGATTTTTGGTGCAAAAGGTCTCAGAGGAGAGCAAGATGACATCTTTTAGATTTAAGTTGTACATGCAAAATGAAGTAGATGATTCCATAGAAAGCCAACACATATTATTGTCTGAAATCTGTTGTAATGGAAAAGTTAGGTTGGAGTAATCAAAATTCAATCACAAAACACCTTCTATACTAACAGTAACTCTTGGAGGATGTCATTGGCCCCAAATAACAGCTGGGAACTGTGCAAGGTCAAGGACTACACTCGAAGTCACAGCTTTAGTAGTTACGGAAATAAATCATGTAACAAGTTTTTACAACACAGAAATCAAAAATGATGCAACACAATGAAAGAAACGGAAGCACCACCACTAAAGAAAAAAAAGGGATGTACAAAATCAGTGATTATGCAAGTAAGTGAGAAAAGAACATACAGGAAAGAGGACAAACCTGAGACACTTAAATTTCAGCTAAGAAGTTCCTCAAAAAAAAAAAAAACCAAACCACCCCAAAACTACTGAAATGGGTGGCTAGCTTGTAAGCAAATGAAATGTAACATAAATTCAAAGATTATATTTCAAAACAGGTTTCAGGGCTTCCAGAGATGGGAACTAGTCCAAGAGCAGTTCAATGCAGCAATGGTAGCTGCATTGAGAGTCCTCATATTACCATACCACTAACATCCAGTTAGCTCTTGTTCTACCAAATGTAAGTAAATTTATCTCCTGATAATATAACACTATCCTGCTCCACAGAAAACAACAAATAGACCCTCTGGCTGATCTCTGACTAAGCAGGTTTATGTCCCCTGGTCATAAAGCCTCCAATGCATTTCTTTTCCCCTCAGTCTCTCCTATCCAACGATGTCCAGCCACAAAACATTGTTCATGCAACTAAAGCTGAAAGCAGACATACAAGTGGAACACCTGCATTCTGCAAGTTGCAAACTTATCACCATCTTCTTTCCACCTCTTAATATTTTCCTTTGCTATCTTATGCTAAGCAGTACACCAAATGTAACTCCTTCAGCAGCTGAATGATGCTGAAATCATCCATGTCTAGTCAAAAGACTGGCATACAGACCAGACTTGAATTCATACTCCTTTTCCTCACTAGCTCGTGTATCTTCCCAGAATTTCAACTTAAACTGAAAGCTAATTCTTTTTCCTGCAGCTATATACTGAAAAAAAAAAAATCAGGCCTCAGTTATGCAGACACTTTAAATTTCATTTTATGCATGCAGTCAATTAAATTAAGGGGACTGTTAACAGAAGTGTCTGCAGCCAGGCCAGAGGCTGTGCTTCCCTCAGCCACCAAGCACATCATCTGCCCAAGTCAGGGGTTAATCAGAAACCCTCGTCTTTGTTGCCTACACCACCTTATAACAGCAAGGGAAGAGAGCTCAGATAATCAGCACAGTATGCTGGGGTTTTATTTGCATTTCTCGTGCAGCCAACAATGTGTATCAGTTATGTATTTTACATATTACAATAGCTGGCTTGGCTGAATTTTAGGCCACTGTGCCATGCGTTTATGCCAACACCCCTTTAAGAAGACTGAAAGAAAGAAAAGGACACTTTCCCTGCGCACCAAGAGCTTGCTACTAAGTCACATGGTGAACAGGGTGAAACAGGATGTGAAACCAAGCTGAAATATAACTCTTCTCTCCTGTTTGTTTTCCAGCGCTGTGGGCTCCCTGAGCATTCCCAAAGCAGTGCCGCAGCTGTCTGTGCCCCCTGTGCATTCCCAAAGCAGTGCCACAGCTGCCTCTCCCTGTGCTCCCTGTGTATTCCCGAAGCAGCGTCCCAGCTGCCTGTGCTCCCTGTGTATTCCCAAAGCAGCATCCCAGCTGCCTGTGCTCCCTGTGTATTCCCGAAGCAGTGTCCCAGCTGTCTCTGCCTGTTGCACAGAGGGCACAGCTGGGAGTCATTGCCACGGGCCGGATCCAGCTCGAGCTCCTGGAAAACGATTCAAACGTGTAGGGAACGTGTTCGCGCAGCCCAACGAGCCGGTGAACGCTGGTAATTGTGAAGACCACTCGCATTCCCGTTACCATCACACTCTTTAAACATCTTTAACAACTACACGCCATGGAAATCAGCGTTCGTGGCATGTAAAGAAAGCCGATGATGTACTTAACACCAATCTTGGCACGCGATGAGAACCATTCCCGAGGGCCCGCTGGCAGGACAACTGGCACCGTGGGAACTGCTGTCCGAGCACAACCCGCCTCACCCGGGACAGCGGGGCCGGTTCCCCAGGGCGCTCCCCGCTCTGAGGCTCTGCACAATCACGTTTCCATCAAGCTTTTCCTGCTCCTGTGCAACGCCGGGGCGAGAGGAAGCGCCCGATTCCGGCGGGGCCCCGCCGCCGCCGCCCGCCGCGGAGCCCCGCACGTACCTCCACGGCCTGGCCCAGCTCCAGGTCGAAGCCCACCACACACACGCAGTGCAGCCAGGCCGAGAAGCGGTCCCAGGGCAGCAGCGACAGGCACTGCTCGGGACCCTCCGGCTCCGCCAGCGCCGCATCCTCCGCGGCCGCCCCGGCGCCGCCCGAAGCCGGGTCGGTGTCCGGGCCCCGCTCCCGCCGCGACATGGCCCCGACCCCGGCCCCGCCGCGCGGAGCCACGTGACCGCCCCGCCCCGCCCCCCCGGAGCCGCCCGGAGTGGGCGGGGCCAAGCGGGCACCGAGGGGCGGCTGAACCATTCCTGCGGGGAGCGGGGGGGGGCGGTAGGGGCGGAGCGCCCCCCAGCGGCCCGCGGGGAGGGCGGCGGTGCGGCCGCGGCTCGGCCCGGCCCGGCAGCTCCGAACGGGCACCGGGAGGGCCGTGCAGCTTCAGGGGCGCTTGAGACACAGCAACCCCGCCCCCGAGAGCCCATATTACAATATGGTTTTGCTTAATAAAGCAGCTACTTCATTGCTACTTTATGCTGTGGGAGCAGCTCTGCAGGCAGGGGCACGATCCCAGTTTTCTGTTCCTCCGCGGCAGGTCAGTGGCAGCCTCTGCCTGGGGACTAGGTGGTCGCTAAGGAATTAACAGGCATAGCTACATCATATCCTACACAACGCTGAACACCATTCAGGAGTCAGGTGGAAATACCCCACAGGCTGATGCCTGAACGACATCGCCCTCACAGGAAATTGGGATAAATAAAAAAAGCATCCAAATCTCTTAAAACCTCTCTTAGCGCCTTAGCCAAAATCCAAGCTCTTTATTTAATAATGGAAGAGCTTTCAAATACTCCTTTAGCACTGTCCATCTCCCATTTATATTTAATTAGGAAACATTTTGTAGAGTTTAAAGTGTTAAGTAGCTACTTTATTAGACAAAAACACTCCCCTCCTCCTGACCTGTACCTGTTATTATTTAGTTACTCACACCAGACTTCTGGTTGACTGCTACCAGCACAGTCTCGGCAGCAGTAGATGCAGATGTGCTGCTTGCCTGAATCACTACAGGCCAGGTTTTCTTCCGGATAGGAGTTGCAAATATTAAAACTGAGATACCACATCTATACACACTTAAAATTTATGACTCTTTAGATGCACTGTTTCCTTAAGACCCATTAACATCATTTGTTTATCTATCAAAACCAAACTGCTAGAAATTAAAGTACGCTTTGATCGTTAGAGTAATTTTCTAGACAAAGGAGGAACAAACATTGAACTCAGACAAAATTATGATACATGAAATTATTGCGGTAATAATTTAAGATATAGCGGCCTTCAGTTATCAGAAGCCATTAGTGGCAAAGTGGATGTCAGATAGTAAGATAGGAATGAGGTTCTGCAGTGCAGCCTGGGCAGGGCTGTACAGGAAGGCTCTCGCTGTCTGTAGCTGCTTCAGGTATTTTATCATGATGCCACGCGAGACTCACACATTTTTCAAGTAGTTAACTCCTGGGTTCTGTAAAAGGTCACTATTCAAAAAAAGACATGACTAAGACTGAGCTTCATCAAGTTAAATTCAGCACAGTGATTCTGCAGTGGTGTTTCATTCGCTATTTCCATTTAAGAGCTGAAATGGGGCCCGGCCAAAAGCTTTATCGCTTAGTTTAAGGAAAGATACCATCTCTCTGCTTCTTACAAGCCTTCCCTTGTTTATATTTTTATACTTTTCCTTGTTTACATTCTTGCTGTCATGACCAAAATGAAATTTCAGCTGTTATTATCATGCATGCCCTTTTAGTTTTTGCTGGCCTCTCTTTGTAAGTTTTCACGTGAATAAAAAGTACAAATGTATATAAGTAAAATAATAAGAACAAAAAACTTAATAAGAGTTATATGCTCTGCTCATTTTATTAAACAAGAACAAGTAAATTAATTCCATTCGATGCTTTACAAATAATCTTTTGGCAGGATAAAGTTAAGAGAATAGAGACACAGTCTTTGATAAAAAAGTCATCGAAAAAGAGAGGATTCTCATCTACTGGAGATATTCCCAATTAACAGGGAAACACTAGTTCAGGAAGATTTTCACCTAGGTATTTCAAATCCATTTTAGTTTTCATTAAATGTGATTATCTTCCTCAGTTGAGAAAGAATGTCTGTTGTTTAAGAAATAGAATAAAAATATTTCTGCATTTATTTCAAGTATTGTAACATAGAAACAACTGAGACTGCTTTCTCCTGCAAGAAGTGTATCAGTGGAGGATAAAATAGACTTCAAAGCTCAGAATCTATAAAATGAGAACGCTTAGCTACAACTTGCAATACTGACTCATGAAATAGCAGGGCTCTGCATATGGAATGTGCCCTTAGAAATCTCCATGAACTCTGCCTTGTTTTGCAGAAATACAGTGATCTGTTCATGTAAATATTCGGCACAGTTTGGAAAAGAAAGTCTGCTAGAGAAAGCATCCTCTGTGATGTCCGTTGCTGGAATAAAAATGAAAATAGGCCTGGGTGGGACAGCTGGATTCTAAAGAGCCCAAACGCTTCAGTGTTTGAGCCTGTCTTGCTTTCTTCCACCCTCTATCTTGCAACTACAGCTGCCATCTCCAGAGCTGTATCCCGCCTCCCTCAGTGGGATGCTTTCTATCAGGTGGCAGCAAATGTTGTGTTGGCTGCTGGCTGGCCTGTTTCCATCAGCAGGGAGTGACTGTGCAGACTGCTCACATCCACAGAGGAACACCAAAGAACTGGATAAACATCATCTGCTCACCTCACCTTCCCTCCTCCGCCACCCGCCTTCGCATTTCAGTTTAAAGTGGTACTTCATTTGTATTTGAAAATTAGCTCTGGTTCATTTGAAACAAATAAACACTCACCAAAACTGGCATAATTATTTTTAAAGCATCTTTTCTATTTTTCAAACAGACACAGAAAACATCAGACTTTTCAAAAAGTCAATTTTAATATTGACTTTTTATTTGATATATTAATAGAAAAGCAATTAAGGCTGGTTACATGATGACTCCTTTCTGCTCAAATAGTAAAGCAGTGAAAATGCCAGATATATCAACTTAGCTAATTTCATCAGAAATTCAGAAACATTGTATGTAACATCAGTTATACGTTAGCATAATAATGTATTAATGGCACACATATTACATTATATTTCTATATATACTCCAAATACGTGTATTATTAACATAGTATAAAACATATATTGTATATGTAAATAGATAGGATATATATAGTATAATAAACATTTTATATAATTGCATAACATATTAATATATTTATTGCATGATGTAAATTGAATAGTATATTCAGTATATGCTTACTACATATATTCCATTAATGTAACTGTCCATTATGTTGGTAAGACACTCATTTATATAATAGGTACAAGTGTCTTTTAATAAGCTTAACCAAGACTAGAGATAGGAGCAGGGAAGGATTTGAAAGAAAATGCGATAAATGGAAAATCTACCTGACAAGAGAGGATTAAACTTTCAAAATTAATGCTGAAAGATAATGTAATTCTTCTTTACATAATCAGTCAGAGTTAAAAGATAAGGAACAGAAAATAAGTCTGAAACTAAAGACCGATAATAGCACTAAAATAAAAAAGTGTAACCACTTCAGTAAACCTGGGGTGATAGTTAGAATAAAATTTTTAATCACAGGAGAAAACTTCTCTGAAACAGTTTCTTACTTTTTGACAAGTTCAGCTTGATTCAGAGTGTTTCAGAAGCTACTTCTCAGGCAAGTTTCTTTTGCAGAAGATACAGTAATATGTAAAGAACAGTTCAAACTTTGATATACATTTCCACGTGTGGCAGTAAATGCCTCCATAGACTGTAATTTTAAAATGTGGTACAGCTTAAAAGAGTGCAGTAATACATTGAATTTGTTATATTTCTGAAAACCAATACAAAATTGATTTGGTCAATTGCTTATGAATGAGTTTCAGGGATGAGAACTCAGGAGAAAGCTGTGCATTTCCATCTTTCTCCTTGCCTGTCTAACAAACACTATCATTTTGCATCTTAATTTTTATACTAGAAACTGAACTTTTGCTACACAGCATGCATCAGTCGTTCCACATGTAACAATCCCTCGAGGCAGGATCTCCCACTAAGCAATTGGTTCACAACACCTCTCCTCTGAAAATTTAATCTGATATATATTAATTATTTTGGTGGCCTGTTATACCATCACTGCACAGTACTCAGAAATCTGGCACTGAGTTCCCTATAACTATGCTCAGTGTTTCTCTTTTTCAGTCAGTTACAGTCAGCTTAGAATTCACCACAGGCTTCCTGCAGCAAAACATCTCATTTTTCATCAAGTCATTAAGATTCAACACTCTCAAGCCAAAATCCAGATGTTTTTCAGGTATGCACATAAACTCCCTCTGCTGCATTTCGTCCTCCTGCCACAGACACCAGCTCTTTAGGGGACGAATGTGCCACTCCCCTCCCTTCCCCTTCCCTTATCCAAGATGGCTATGGAGAGGGCTGTTTCTGCCCTCAGCTATGATGGCTATCATAACATTTTTATGGACTTCCTGCCCAGAAAAAGGACAGACACCTCCGTGGGATCCTGCTGCCCTTACCCAACATGGCTGCGAGGTGCTCTGCCTGCTTCGGTTGTGACAGTGGTTTGCAGAAACAAAGCAGGAGCTGACACATCCTCCTCCTCCTCCTCCCCCGAGCACAGCACAGCAGAGCACTTCACACCAAACTCTTCGTCCACCTGTTGCTTCCCACAGTTCTAAGAGGGACACTTTCTGGTAAGCATCAAACACCTCATAAAACACTCATACAGTAATTTGTATCCTCGTTTCAGAATGCAGCCGCTCTCTGTATTTTCAGCTTAGTCTATGACTCAGCCCTTGACAAATTCTGAACTCATTAGGCAATTTGAAATAGGAGTTAAAAAGTGTGAGGGATAACTACACCCATCCAGCTCCTCTGAGAGCTGGCACTCACGCAGAGGAGGGCTCAGATTAATGGCCTCGATGAAAAGTAACTCGGTTGTTACACGAGGCGTTTGGCAGCTCCAAAAAGATCTAGAAAGGCAGCTGGCACATACCATTGCTTTCCCCTGAGACTGTCAAAATGGGATTTCTCCAGGGGATGAAGAAGGGTTCAGGATACCAACTATGCCAGTGGCTTACAGTTTAAAGGACACAGATGCTCAGAGTATTAGTTTGTTCTACTGGTCACAGCAAGGCTTGGGAAAGACACTGTACAGACAATACAGTATGGAATTTGAATCCCAATATCTAAAAATTACAAATACTTAGAACATCAGAAAAAGATATCCAGTGCTCAGTTAATTATTTTTACTCTATTCTCTTAGGCCCTATAGATGGTAATGGATCTTAATCTCTAATTTTACTTTCAAACTCCTTTCCCGATTAAGCACGCACATCTCATAAACATTCTTTTCATTCCACCTGTATAACCACTTCATAACACCTGTAGTACTCATTGAATGAACACCTGTGGTACCCCTTGTTCCCACTTTTTACACCTTTGCAATTCCAAAGTGCTCTCAACTACTTTTACTTTCGCAACTCTCTCCCTCAAATATAACTCCTAATGGACTTTAATTTATTCTCTCTTTCTCCATTTTCTTTTTGTATCCTTTTCCTTCTCCTCTTTGATTACTTATGGAAGCTTGTGTGCTGTAAGCAACAGCCATACTGAATTTTAATTTATTTAAAAAATTAGTAAATTCAGATTATATTTATCACAATAGTATAATCTTGTAAACAAGCTGATGCAAGCTGTGAAGTGGTGTGTCAGATATTTTTTTTGTTCTCTCCTGTCAGGAAAATTAAGACTATGGATAAACAGTCCTAAAACTTCCACCTATCAGACTTTTTTTGTGTGTTCAAAAATCAGACTTGTCTTTAATTTCGGATTTCATTTTTTTGCTTCAAACACAGACACTCCAGTCTGGTTGTGCTGTCTTTTTCTCATTGGATTGCTAGAAGAAAACGAGGCTGTAACAAATCACATCTCCCTTCCCCAAATCAAAGTGCAGTCAAAAAGAAAGGGAGAAAAATTAAGACAGCCTTGAGATTTTACTGTGCTACAACTAAACCCACAGTCATTGTGCCTTGTGTCACACACAGCACTGCCTTACCTCGACTGCTACTTTCCCCCTCGTCCCTGAGCTGCCTGGCCCTGCTCCACTCCTCTCCTCCACGTCTGCTCTTTCTGCCATCAGAGAACCCTCCCATGTCCCTAATCCTAACACCTTGTCACAGGGTAATTATAGCGCTGGCACGACCCCAACATCTATCTTATATCCAACAATTTCCACTTGTTTGTTCAACAGGGAATGACGGAATTAAAAATGAATTCGGACCAGAGAGGCCCGTTCAGCACCAACGACCTTGACAAAGTCATCTTTCCTTGGCTTCTAGAAAACGGGGATAAATATGATTATAGATGATGCTCCGTGACTTACTGAGGGAAGACACTGCACCAGTGACCCCACCCCAGTCCTGTCCCTGTTCCTGCAGCCACCGCTCCAAAGCTCCCCCTGGTCCAGCCACCAACCTGCAACTAGAGAAGGCAAACACGGCCAGCGTTCCTCCCGCCCCGGGGCACGGCAAACCACACTGCGGCTTCCAGGGATTTCAACCCGGGATCATAAAACGAGCAGAAGAGCAAGGGGAACGCAGGAGGATGTCCAGGAGACTCCTGCAGCCTCTCATGCGAGCTCTGCTGAGAACGCGTCACCCCAGGTTCTCCTCAGAGCTCCCTTATTTCACAGAATTACAGAACAGCCTGAGTTGGGAGGGACCCACAAGGATCATAGAGTCCAACCCTCAGCCCTGCACAGGACACCCCAAGAATCCCACCACGTGCCCGAGAGCGTTGTCCAAACACTCCTTCAGCTCTGGCAGCTTTAGGGCCGTGACCACTTCCCAGTGGAGCCTGTTCAGTGCCCAACCACACTCTGGGTGAAGAATCTTTCCCTGATATCAAACATAAGCCTCCTCTGACACAACTCCAGGCCATTCCCTCCCCCTTATAAACAAGGTCTGACGGGCCCCGCTCGCTCCCTCCCTCCCGGCCAGGGCACAGCCGAGGAGAACGGCGAGGGGAAAGCGACCGCACGGGGCCGAGGGGCTCACTCACCTCAGCTCCTGCCCCCGTGCTAACACGTCCCAGCCGTGCCCTTTCAGCAATAGCCCCTCTCCCCTTTTCCCGCTCCCCTTTCCCGGCTCATCCCACCGTTTCCCCCCCCCCCTCACTCCCGATCCCAGCGCCCGGAGCGGGGCGGGGCCCGCGCGTGCCGCAGCCTCACCGCTCCCAGCGCGCATGCGCGGGGCGCGCCGGTGCGCACGCCGCCCGCCCCCGGCCCCGCCCCGCCCGGCCCCGGCGCCGCGGCCACACCGGGAAGGGCTCCAGGCGCTATGGCGGCGGCTGCGCGCAAGGTAAGGGGGGGAGCGGGCGCGCCCCGAGCCGCCCGCGGGGCCGCGCCAAGCGGGGCTGGGGGGACGCGCGGGGCCGCGCCGAGCGGGACGCGCTTGACCCGGTTTGTTTTCGGCCCCACAGGTCGGAGGAAAGTTCCCGCGGTCGGCGGCCGCCTGAGCGGCAGGAGCGACCGAGCGGGAGCGCCCGGGCCCGGCCGCCAGGCCTCTCCCGCCACCGGGGCAGCGGAGCGGCGCTGGGCGGGCGGAGAGCGCGGGGGTGCGCAGCGGGCCCGCCTCATGCGCAGCCACCTGCGGAGGGGCTGAGCGGAGCCGCCGCCGCCGCGCCGGGGGCTCCTGGCGGGCACTGCCCGGGGCAGCCCCTGCCCGCCCACCCCGGCACCGCCGCCGCCGACGGACGGACGGACGCCGGCCCTGCCGCCGCCAGAGCCACCGCCGGGGAGCGACCTGTCAGCGCACCTCGCAGGCCGGCCCCGAGGACCCTTCCCACGCGCTGGTTTGTCCCCGGGAGAAGGAGAGTTGGGAGCCCTCTCCGTGCCTTATCAAGTTCCTTATCTGAGCGGCTGCCAGACGCTGTAGACCAGTTCGGCTTTATCTGGTGCAGGGGAGGAAAACAGTGTATCTCTCGCACCCCATCCCAAATCGAGGACCACCTATTCTGCCGTGGTTTAATTCACGAAGATGGTGAAATGCGGATTGCCGTGTGAAGCAGCTAGATCCCTGTTGTGGACTGAGGGCTTCGTATTCACCTCCCAGCTCCCGATCTGTGCTCTGTGAGAGAGGACACTAATTCTTCTCCTTCAACCCCTTCCCTAAACCTTTCCTTGCTTCCATGTTGCATTGGTCAGACTTTTGGTCAGTGTTGTTTACGGAAGGGGAGGGGAAAGAAGGCAGTTGAGGTTACAAACAAAAGTACTTGTATGACTCATCTACTTGGATTTAAGACATTATATCCTTCTTTCAAGGGGCCTTTGCTTCTCTCTGAAGGAATCAGATGCTTGTTCCTATTCTTCCAGAGGAGGATGGATTGAAAGTTGTCCATTTTAGACTTTTCTTGGGCCACTGCTGATATTATTAAAGACATAATGGGGCTTTTTCACTGGATTATTGCCAGGATTAGTTTACACACTGAAACAATGAGTTGTTAGGCCTCTCATACGATAATATTTGTCCTGCTTTAATATAAAGTTGCTGCGGAGGTGCGTTAAAAATCGCGGAGGACAGTCTGCATCAGAGGAGGCTCTCTTCGTCTCTGGTTGGTGTGGCAACCAGCAATCTGTCCTCGATGCCTTCAGCCTTGGCCATCTTCACTTGCCGCCCGAACTCTCATCCGTTTCAGGAGCGTCATGTCTACCTGGACGAGCCCGTCAAGATCGGCCGCTCCGTGGCTCGCTGCCGGCCAGCCCAGAACAACGCCACGTTTGACTGCAAGGTGCTCTCCAGGAACCATGCTCTTGTCTGGTTTGATCACAAGACAGGCAAGGTAAGATGTTTTTCTTTCTTTAAAAAATATACTGAGCTGCACGTTGGCTTCAGCAAGTCCCTCTGGGCTGCGGATCACCCTGGTTTTGCGGTGATAAATACGGCTGCACGTGGAAGGAGTAAGGTTTGTGTTAAAACGATTACTTTTCAGGTAAGTTGGTGATTTCTGACTAAGCAGAAACTTTAAATATTATTAAAAGTATGTAAAACTAACAGTTGAAAATGGTGATAAGTACTGAAAAACTTGCAGGTGTATTCTTCATTGCTGGAAGTAGGTGATTTTCGGGTGAGTCATAGAAATGTGAAGGCACAGGCTTGTATCAATATAATGGTGTAATACCATTTGTTCAAATGCTGAGAAATTACCGTTTTATTTGAGCGTGTAAATAAATCTCATTGTGAGGAGTGTCAAAAAACGGATTTAAAAAACCCATTGTGTTTGGCACGCTCACTCTTCCTACTTGTCCTATTGAAATTTTATAGAGTATTTTGTTTGGGTCTGCTAGAAGTTTTGTTGCTGGCAGCAGGAGCGTAACAAGTGGCATACAAGGTGTATTTTCTCGTTGATAGTGAAAATGGTTTTAAAATATATCCTGTGTTGCCTTCACTGTTCCTCTCCCAAGGCTGGCGGTCTTGTTAAGTGAAATTGAGGGGTTCTGTAGTGCGTGTTTTGTCCACTAGGGATTGAACTGGGACAAGTAAAGTTGTTTTACTTAATAACTGTCAAGTTAATTTTAAATATCCAGCAAGAAAAGAACAAAGTGCAGACCTCAGTTCCTCAGCGCTGTATTTTTTTCCGAATATATTCATGTTACACCCTAGAACTTTATGTGCTCTAAATCAGCTGATTGTTAACTTCACACCATGCCCTTCTATGAAATGCAGTCAGTATAGCTCGGGATTTTAAGAATAATGTGGTCTGTAATTCAGGTTTTTTAGTAATATGACACAGCATGAGGAGCAGTACAAGGCAGTCAAAGTTCGTAAACCTTCCATTGTTAACTATCCCGTGTTATGCAATCCTTGGGCATGATGGGACAAGACAAGCATTTAATTTCTTAAGGCTGGGTTATGGCATGGCTTTCAAGTTACCTGCAGGTAATTGTGCAAACTGCTATCTGTATGAAGTGTTTCATTAAGCATATTGCTTTGGCTCTGCTGTGTGTGTCATGTGCATTCTTGGACTCTTTAAAGCTTGGGTGCTTGAAATACTTTCAGTTTAAGCTTAGTTTTTAACATTTCCTTTGACTCAACAAAGTAAAATGCTCCAATTTATTGTGCTGTCTTTAAATTAGAAATGTTGTGCATATAGCTTTTTATTAACATGTCTCATGACTAAGAAAGATTTTAAGACACCCCCCTCCGTGCTCTATTATGTTTACAAATAGTCCAGCCATATTTAAGATGGTTAACTTGGCAAAGCACTGAGTGTCTGCTGACTTATAGACAAGCTTCAAGGACTGTCAGCTGTGGGTGTTTTGGTTTGTTTTTAAATTTCAGTTAGCTTTGGCTTTTCTAATATAGGTCAAACATTTATATGCTTATTCATTTTATCTGTCTGTTTTAAAGTAGCAGCTTGGCAGTAGGAAGTAAGAGGATGATATGTGATAGTTCTTGAGATTCCATGTGAAGATGTGATGGGAGTCTGCTAAAATTGCCCAGGTGGAGCTCTGTAGCCATAGTGGTCAGCTGAAGAGCGAGTTTGGGATCATGGATAGGGATCCATTCCTGTGAGTGTTGCATGTTAGATGTGGTGGTGCTGTAAAGGTTTTTTAAAGCGTTGGTACAGCAGTGTGGAGAACTTCAGATTCTGTCTATGTTTCTTGGCAATATGGTCTGGTTTTTCATCTGGTAGAGTATCTGAATGATAAATTGTGAGATAGCTGGAGGAGAGGGGTAAATGCATTGTTAGAGATAATGGATATCAAATGCTGTTATGAAAAGCCAGGTGGAAGATATTGATAAATACAGGCTTGATCCTGAATCACAAGAACCACTTTAAAGAATTCTGTGGTGTTTTCAAAATACAAACAAAACCATAAAACTATGCCAGAACATTTACATGCAGGAACATACATTATCATTGTTTACAGAACTGCTAATAGGCACATCTCATTTAGGAAACTGTCATTATCCTATCAATGACCTAAATTTAAACTTGCACAAATTGTCACGGTATTTGTAAACATTTTTTAGAAGCTTATATATAGGGCTTTTATCAATTCTGGGTTTTTTGAAAGATAAAAGACATTGAAATGTTAATTTAGTAGCAGAGAGAATAATTCAAAATGGTTCGTGAATGATCTGGAACTGCAGTTTCATTAGTTGTGGACTTTGGCCATACCAGTTTCTGGCATTCCCAGTCACTCGGTCCAGTCTGTGCTGCCTCTTGAGCTGCCTTTCAGTTATACTCCAATAGTCTTTTTTTTTTTCTCTGAGGATTTGGAGTTTATTTTAGTGAATCATGTGAGTGGTCCTGTTTACTACATGGTCTGTAAACAATTTTATCGGCATAATCTGTAAAGAGGGGTAGAACCCAAAGTAAACAGTGGTCAGGAAACTACACTGTTTTTTCTGAGGCAGAGGTAGGCATAATTTGAAGTGTGTCACATAAGTAGACCAAGTTGAAGATGACATTTTACTTACAGTTGAAAGATGTCAATGTTTACTTTGTATAAAGGCACTTCAATTATGCATGGAAAAAGTTATGTGCCCAAGGAGATAATGTCTATGTAACACCAGCATTATTAAGGATGAAAGTAGGATGGGTTTTCAGGATCACCAGTAAATAGCAATTAAAAGCAGATATTTAAATTTGGATTTGCTTTTTAAAGTATTTTTAACATAATATCTAAGCTTAAATGTGTGTAAGATGAAGGTGGGAGGAGTTGGTGGTGGGATTATCTGTACTTGGACTTTTTCTGTGCTTAGTAATACTTCTATAGACAACCAGTGAAATGCCTCTTTTTGCTTTTGTTTGTAGGTAGAGCACAATAACCTCTTGTAAATTTTTTATACAGTGATAACATTAGAAGATTATGCTTAGAATTAATTTTTATTTAGGTTTTTTTAGTAATTACAAGTTAATCAATCTGGGTTTTGTGGAGATGCCTGAAAAAGTGAGTCACTAGATATGTAGGAAGTAGATGTTGTGCTGAGCATGGAGTGTTCCCAAAAGTGTGAATCAAAGCAAAAGGAAAAGTGGGCTATAGTTCAGAAAATGTAAATCTGTTTGCTCAGCTTATATCACTGCATATAGGAAGAAATTCTTTTAAATTGCTAAACTGAAATAGTCTTAAAGTTTTTGGTTTTTTTTTTTTGGTTTTGTTTCCATTTTTAAAAATAAGCAAGTGGAAAACCCTGGAGAATTTGTATGTGACTTCTCCCAGGCTGAAATGCTTCTGACAGATGTGGTAGAAGCTTTTAGAAGAAACATGAAGCTTCCAACAGATATCCAGGCTTTCAAAAATTGGAATTATTCAGATTGTTGTGACTTGCTATTATAAGTACCTTTTATAGGGAATTCATTGCTGCAGTTTACCAAAGGCTCTGTGAAACTGTGTGAAAAATAAAGTATTTTCTTAGATCAAAAGGACTCCAAGTAACTGGTCGTTTTTAATAACTTAAAAAAAATATGTATAGACACAAGTTTCTCTGTTAATGGTACCCAATACTACTGCTTTTGTTTAATTCAAAGTGGATATGAGTTGAATTGAGCACATTCATAGTATCTTCATGACAGAAACACTAACTAGTATATTGGAAGCCATAGTCCACATAATAGTAAAGGAGATTTATGAAGGCTGTGCTTTGTGGCTTCTAGACTTACAATATGTGAGATAAAAACGTTACAGAATACTTCCTGCAGGTAGCACCCTCTTTAAAGAAAACAAACACAAATAACCCTCCCCACCCCCCAAAAAACCTCCACCAAACAAAAAACTTCCAAACAACAAACCAAAAAAACCCACAAAATAACCAACCAAAAAATCCCAAACCCCAACAAACCAAACACAACCAACCAACCCAAAACCCAACACCTCAAAGCAATCACCCCAAAGGTACAGCCAGGGAATTACAGACTGGCTTTGAGTCCCTGGGAAAATCATGGAACAAGTTGTGGAACACTTTTCTGGGCACATGAATAAGATGATTTGGTAGTAGTCAGTGCAGAGTTGACAGGGGTAAATCATGGCCTGCTGAGTCCAATTGCACTGTGTGATAAAATGACTCATTTTGCTGAAGGGCAGGACAGAGCAGGGCACACTCTGTACCTTGCCTTTAGCAGGGCTCTTGGCTCTTCCCCACAGTGGCCTGTCTGAGTTTGGGCACTGCAGTCTGGGTGTACGAGCGACTTGAGGAGTAAACCAGAACTGGTTTGGGATGGGGCTCCACGGTGGTGCTGGGATGGGGTGTTGGGGACGAGCAGGATGCCACAGGGTCAGTGCTATGAGCTGTCCTGTTCAATGTTATTATCAATGACCTGGAGTTTAGTCATGTTTAGTGAAGTTTAGTCATGTTTGAAGGTGACACCGTATCTGTTGGTGTGATGGGGAGTGAGTTGATATGCTCAAGGGCACGGCTGCCCTCCGGAGGGACCTGACCTTGCTGGAGGAATGGGCAGAGAGGAGCCTGAACAAGGACAAATGTGAAGTCTGCATGTGGAAAGGAAGAACCCCTTCCAGCTTATTAGACCCTGTCTAGGATACTGCATCTAATTCTGGACCACTAGTGCAAGAAATACATTAATAAACAGGAGTTGAAACGCTGGATGATCTCTCTTTGTGGTGTGTTGTACTAAGGATAAAAGTATATTGATCATGAAAGGAAGAAGAAAGAATGTGTAAAAAAGAAATATGTTTTTTGCTTAACATTACATGGAATGTTTTGTGGATATCAAGAATTTGGCAATAGCCCAGAATTATAGAACATCTCTGGATATCCTATTTGTTCAGAAGTATTTTAATAAATCTGTCTTAAAAATTAAGTGGGGTATGAAAA